TTTACAATGAGAATACAACATACCACAGTATAAGAAAAATTGTAAGAATGAAACTCCCACAGAAGTTTATAGAACAAAATGTATACTAAATCCCCCAATTAAAGACCCATAAAGTAGTTTCAGTGCTTTCTAACCCACCTTCTCACAGCAGGGAATTAATCCCTCCGGGGGATGCAAACAAACTTCAAAGAGAAGATTATGCCCAGACACTAGTATTGTATAGGGTAAGGTTTATACCTAAATTTGGCAGAGATCAGAGATGCAAGTTCAAGAAACAAAGACTAATTTTAAAGCAGATTTCTTTGCAATCATTCAAAATGGCAAAAATAATGCCTTGAATAATAGCAGGTAAAAGTAAGTATGATGAGTTTTATTAAAAACAAAGAAGAAGGTTGTAGAAGTAGGTAAAAGATTACCTAAAATCAAATATTAAGTGACAGCTTGTTCACTAGTAATAGCAACTAGGAAATCTTACAAAGTCCCAAAGAAACTAAGCAGCACCGTAAATTCTACTTGTGTACCTAAACTTGACTTTCACAGTGTTCGGAAGATATCCCATTCAGTATCATAGATCCTGGTGCAATGTCTAAGCAAAAGTGACAGATCACATGTCCTTCCCATGGATTTCATGGAATGCCCTCCATAGCACAGAACACATGAGAGTTTACTTCAGTATTACAAACATTAAAAGTTATTGGTGAGGGGGGAAAAAGTCTTTAAATTCTAGTAATATTTCTCATTGGCCTTTCTCATGTGTCTTCTTTTTATTGAGAGGTAATATTTTAGGTACAATTCAGAAGTATGTGATCATTTTATAAAAATATGATTTAAGTAGAGTAGCCTATCTTAGTAATTCATTTTTATTTAGCTTTCCAATTTTAAAAAGTCATGAATAAGGAATCAAAATTAGAGTTTAACTTTTTGGAATATTTATCATCTAATAGAAAACTAAAGTCCTTGATAGATTAAAGACCTAAATGCAAATAGCAAAACTATACATTTCTTATAGGACTATATCTTCATATCTGTAGGGTAGGAAAATATTAATAGACAAAAAGCCCGGTACACAAATTTGTGCATGGGTAGGGTCCCTCGGCCTGGCCTGCAATCAGGGCCTATCAGCCAGCTGATGGGGGCTGGGGGATTGGAGGGTCTGTGGGGAGAGTGAGGAGGAGGGACTGTGGGAGGTTGGCCAGCCGGGGAAGAGGGTGGGGGGGAAATTGGACCACGGGAGATCGGCTGTGGGAACACACTAACCACCTGGGGCAGCTCCTGCATTGAACATCTGTCCCCTGGTGGTCAATGTGCATCATAGCTACTGGCCGGTTGTCTGGTCATAAAGATCGCTTAGGCATATATATATATATATATATATATATATATATATATATATATATATATATATATATTGCACTATATTAAAATCATTAAGTTTTTATCAAAGGTACCATAAAGAGAGTGAAAGACAAACCATAGAGTGAAAGAAGATATTTGTAACACATACAAGCAGATAATTAATATCCATAATATATACTGTAATTTCTTATAAATCAATAAGGAAAAGGTAGAAAACTCAATTTTTTAAAAAAAGCAAGAGACTTGAACAGGCACTTTTAAAAAGAAGCTGGCTGAAACCGGTTTGGCTCAATGGATAGAGCGTCAGCTTGGGGACTGAAAGGTCCCGGGTTCGATTCCGGTCAAGGGCATGTACCTTGGTTGCGGGCACATCCCCAGTAGGAGTGGGCAAGAAGCAGCTGATCGATGACTCTCTCTCATCCATGTTTCTAACTCTCTATCTCTCTCCCTTCCTCTTTGTACAAAATCAATAAAATATATTTAAATAAATAAATAAAAATAAAAATAAGCTGAATAAGATGCCAATAAGCATATGAAAAGTGCTCAATCTCATCAATCATCAAGAAAATGCAAATAAAAATAAGGATATACTACTACACAACCACCAGGTTGGGGAAAAAAAAAAAAGGTCTAATTGTACCAAGGACTGATACCAAATGCTGAAGGGGGTGTAGATGAACACAATCAATTCTGGAGAAAAAAACCAAAAACACAGTTTAGCATGATCCAATCATCTAGTAGGATTTCTATCCTATGGCAGTATGTTTAGGGGCATCATATTCACACATAAAATAATCACAGTGCCCTGGCCGGTTAGAGCATCCCCTCTCCGACTGAAGGGTCTCAGGTTGGATTTCGGTCATGGATTCATACCTCACCTCCGTTGTAGCCTCTATCTCCAGCCCTAGTAGAAGTGCTTGCAAGAGACAACCAATCAATGTGTCTATTTCACATCGATGGTTCTCTCTCTGTCTTTCCGCCTCCCTTCCACTCTCTCTAAAAAGAAATTAATGGAAAAAATATCCTTGGGTGAGGATTAACAAAAAAATATATATGTTCAATCTTCCTATCACAACAAATATGCCTTTATCTGCCTAGAAGACTAAATTCATACTGAGAATTTTTGGATTCCTTAAAGCTCAAGTGAAAACCTGATGGTTCAGGAAAGACTGGCCACTGGCCCACTGCCCATAGCCCTCTTCTCTATCCCATATTGCCAACAACCTTGCACACAGCACCCAGTCACAAGTCCAAGTCCATCCCATACACTACTCCCACAAATGGAAACTCTTAAGCCATCACTTGGGCCTAGGAGTATATATACCTGGCAGCTCAGTCTACCCTCAGAAAGACAGACCTCAGGAAGAGACTCATGCAGCCTCTAGGTGATTTGGGCACAAAATTCTGAGGTTTTAGGTACTCAAAGGTCTAGAATGGAAGGGTTCAGGCTTCAAGTGGGCATATCCCATTGGCCCCACAGACTCCTTGCACCATGGAAGAGGGAGAAAGCAGGGCCCTCTAAAGCATAGGGCCAGGGCAAGGATCGCTCTTGCCAGGAACAGAATTTCCTTAGAACCAAGCAACATTATAAGTGTTAACCTGGACAGCAGTAACATGGGTACTCATTTTATAATTATTTGTGAAATTTTATATGAAAGTTTTGTGATTTTTCCACAAATAATGGGACTGACATCATGTGCCTACTGATATGACACACAATATCATGGTCTAGATATTCTTGCCTAAAATCCATAATCTGAATCTAATCATTGGGATACAATCAAATCTAACCCATGGACTTATTAAAAAATAAGCTAACTCCTTAAAAAATATGTCATAAAAGGTAAAGAAAAGCCATAAAATTATTATATGCTGAAACTAAGTAGATGTGTTTAATCTCATACAATTAAATAGAGTGCATGATCTTGAATTAGATTCTAGATCAGAGGGGGCAATACTATAAATGACACTTTTGGGACAAATGATCAAATTTAAATATGAACAACTGACATTATATCAATGTTAAATTTTCTTATCTCAATACCTATACTAGAATTATGAAAGAAAATGTCCTTATTCTTGGGAAATACATTCTGAAGAATTTAGGGATAAAAGGTCACAATGTCTGCAACTTCTCAAACTCAGCAAAAATAATATGCATATGCATGTAAAATGAAGAAAATATGGCCAAAAAGTAATACTTGCTGAATCTAAGGAAAAGGCATATACACTTGGCTATCCATGTAACATTTATCTTTTTAAATATTTTCTAAATAAAAAGGTTTTAAAACTATACTAAGAGGTTAAATAAGAAAAGACTTATCTGTAGGAAGGGAAGAGGAATCAGATGTCTGGGATGAAAGGGTAAGATACACATTTTTCTTTTGCTCATTCTTCCATCTTATTTTCACTTTTCAAATTTTGTTCATATACCCCCCAAAAAAAATTCATTTTACTTTGGGGGGCAATTGAAAGAGGAAACATTAGCAAATAGAGAAATAAGAAAAATGTTTGTCCTTAAATGTATCTGTCAAATCACAGCCATCATCAAATGGTTACTTGGTAACATTAGCCCATAAAATGCTGCTCACATACACACTGAGTAACCCTTCCCAATCCAATAGTTTGTGCATTAAGAGGCGTAACTTATGGATGTTAATATTCTACTTCTACAGCAACCATATATTTCTAACATGTTTTTCAGCCTTCGTTAGATAAACCAGAAAGTGAAGCACACAATTAATCTAACTTTTGCTGTTAGGAGAAATTCATTCATTTTAACAAACATTGGTGATGTTATGCAAAGCCCTGCAGATGGCATAGAGTTGTGTATATCATGGTCACTGTCCTCATGAAGGCAATGCAGCAAAGTGACAAGGACTTGAACCACACATTAGCTATATGACCTTGGTCATTTATTTGGTCTCTCTGAGATTCCCTTTTCTCATAGTTGTAATGGAGATGCCACCCAGCTATCTTTAAGGGCTGAATTGTAAGGACTGACTATGTGAAGTATGTAGGACAAGACAAACTCAATAAAAGCTATTACAATCTAATTAAATAAGGAAATGGAAAAAAATATATGCCTAAGGTTGTATAGCCAGTTAAGGGTATAACTACTATTGAAATCCTGATTATTCCAAGTTTCTAATCCAAGAAAATTCACTCTCCCTAAACACCAAATAATATATGCAACTGTTAGTGTCTGTGGGCCAAGAGATGCTGCCTAACATATCTTTGGCAAATGCATCACTCTATCAGGCACCAAGAAAAAGAACACTGGATCATAAGGTTATTTTTTTCTCATTAACCAAGAAGGATTTTAACTCAAGAAGTATTATATTCAGCCTATACAAGGTGTCTAAGACCCTGTCATCCAAGAATACATGGCCAAATTAGTTCAAAAGCTAAAGCCACAGTGGTATTTCCTTCAAATAATTTCCAACTTTCTTTTATCAAAAAAACATAAAATTTACTAAATTAAATCAATGTCATCATGCTTATGATGATGTGGGCACAAATAAAGAAAGACACTTAAACATATTTAAGGATAAGTAACAGTTTAGAATATTCCCATATCCCATATGCATGGCTATCTCATACAATAAACAAATATGCCATATGATAATTAAACATGCAAATACCTGAAAGAGTGCCACCTGACCTAGGATAGGCCACTTCAACATACACTTCAAATGTGGTCTCTGGATTTTGCCTACGAAAGAAACAAATCATGATTACTAACAAGGATGGAGACAGCATGGTTATAGAACATGTGGGCTGAGGTATGAAGCACATATTGATAAAATCATTAGCTCCACAACTTAATGGCTGTGGAACTTTGGACAAATTACTCAACTTCTCTGAGCCACGTCTACCTAATCTATAAAATGAGAACACTTAACCAGAAAAATTATTGTGAAATTTAAACACACACACACACACACACACACACACACACACACATTGTCTGGGTATTATACAATGTCTGGCCAATAATTGACTAAATATTATTATAATTTTACAGGTGTCACATCTCCAATTTACCCAGCTACATCTCCAAAGCCACAGATAGAATTCTGAGGAAACTCAAAGCAAAGCAATATTAGCAGAAAGTAGCCTTCTCCTTCATATTCCAGGTTAAAATATTCATAGGATGAAGTTAACTTGCTTATTTATAGATTATAAGACCAAAACAAGAGAAACAGTATCCTCATCACTAGGCTGTTATGAGATAGGATCCTAATCTAAATATAAGACTATTCCCACATAGGGGGCTTCACCTGTAGAAAAATTGCAAGTATATGAATGTTCATTATTATATCTACCTTTTTATGTCATAAATATTTCATAATAAGTTTTTTAAAGATCACAGCACTAACAGAATGTTAACAGTTAATTCAGAGGGATGAGAACATCGGGGTTATATTTCTTTGCATTTTCTCTTTCTCTTTGATTCTAAAACTACAATAAAAAGATATTATTTCCAGATTGAATGAAAATCAGTCAGTGAAGAAAATATTATACTTTCAAATGTCTATAACTGAATTATATTTTAAACCTGACAACAAAGCTTAGAGAAGAAATTTTCTGAGTTGCCTAATCAGATCTAAGGTTTACTTTTCAATCAAATAAAAACTTAAGATTTACCCAATAGATTACAGTTTTCAAAATAACTATCTCATTTATCACTTTTCATTCTTATTATAATCCCAGGAGGTAGGTGCATCAAGCATTATCAACACCACATAGGTGAGGAACCTGAGGCAGAGTTCCTAAGTGACTTGTCGGTGGTCCCACAGCTACTTAGAAATGTAGCCAGAACCAGAATTCACACCTCCTGGCACTCAAATTCTATTTCATTGATTCTAAGAACTTCCCCACTCCCCTCCATGCACACATTTTCTCATATCTTACAATCTATTGCCTCTTACAATTCTACATGGCAGCATTTTTTCTTTATTGATAATACATACAGTAACTATAAATAATAGCACTATTATTTGTAAATAATAGCATCTTAAATTCAGTACTAGTAAAATATGGTAATACTCCCTAAAGTTACTTAGAAGTATAAAGAAAAATGTGTTTTGCCTATCAGGAATCTAGTTATTTCTCTTGTGAAGGATCATTTCTTCACTGAATAGAAACTTGGGCTTTTGCTTTAAATAAGCAACTATAGCTACAAAAAGTTGGCTGCTCTAAAATTCAATTTAAATATATATTGTCAAATATAACTTAAAAATTATACATGATTTAAATCAGATTATCTTACTTACAACTAGGTAAACAAGTTTTAAGCTCCTTTAAAAGAAACTTTTTGTGCTCTTTTTTCCCTGGGAGAGGGTTCAGAAAGACCTACAAAATCAGTATCTTTTGGCCACCAAACACTTGTGGAAAATACCAGATGAAAGATCCTTTTCATTCAAATGAGCTCAAAGAACAATGTTTGATAAAAGAAAGGAATGTTCCAAAGTCATCTGAAGAACACCAACAAGATTCCTTCTAAAACCTAAATAAATCTTTCTTAAGTTTAGTTTGTAACTGGCTAAATTCCATCTCAGAATTTCATTCTTCTAGATTAAGATAATGGTTTTCAAGATGTGTTCTGCAGTACCTTATGACTCCATAAAGGTTCTTCAGAGCTTTTGTACATATTTTACCTAAATTTCCATTTTTCGTTTTCCCCACTTCAAGCATGAGCATGGAAAGATGTTACATACCAAGTTTTTTAAACACTGGAGCTCCTACACATTAACCTATGCCACTAAGTTGCGGTGACTGTGCAAACCTGCTGTCTCTAAATGAAGTATACCATGGTCTCTGCTGCTGCTTCTTTCTCTTTAACATACTCTGAACCCACCAACCACACCATTGAAACAACTTGTTATGATCACCAATGACCTCCACATTGCTAACATGGTCAGTTCTCAGTGCTTGTCTCACTCAACCTTTCAGCAGCATTTGACTCAGTTGATTGATTTACCCTCCTTCTTGAAACACTTTCTTCACTTGCCTATCAGGATATCACTCTCTATTAGTACTCTTCTTACCTTACTGGCTGCTCTTTTGCTAACTCCTTCTGAAACAAGCTCTCCTACCCTGGGCCTTAGTCCTGGACCTCTTTCTATATATACTCATTACTTAGATGATCTCATTCAGTCTCAGGGCATTATTTAAATCTTGCTTCCTTCCTTCACTCCAGATCTCTTATCCAACTGCTACTCAACACCACCATTTGAATATCTATGAAGTATTTCTAATTTAACAAAGGGTGCTTTTCTTCCTCAGACTTGCATCTTCTGAAATCCACCAGTTATTCAGTCCAAAAAACTTGTGTCATCCTTAGACTCCTCTTAGTTTTATAAGTCACTTATGTCCATGCCACTATCAACCAATCAGGAAGTTCTGATTACTTTATCATCAAAATACATCCAGAAAGCATCCCCAACTCCACTATTTTGGAAAGATCACCATCACTTCACCTCTATTATTGCAGTAATCTCCTGACTGATCTCCCTGTTTCCTCCTTTGCCCTTCTACTAGTATGGTCAGATTTCAACTTCGAGGCCAGGAATTCTTTTATTCTGAAGGTCAGGCTATGTCAGTCCTTTGCTCAAAAGCTTCCATACTGTTCAAAATCAAAGTCTTAATTCTAGAAATGGATGGTGGTGATGGTTATACAACAATATGAATATATTTAATACCACTGAACTATACACTGAAAAGTGGTTAAGATTAAAAATCTTATATATATTTTACTACAATTTTAAAAGAAATTGGGGGTGGGGGGGGAGTCCTCATAAGGTCCTACATGATGTGGTCTTTGACTATCTCACCTCTCTCTCCAACTTCATTTCATACCTCTCTCCCCTTCTTTCTGCATTCCAGCCACACTGGCCTCCTCTCTACTCCTGAGACACACCAAACTCATTCCTATCTTACAGCCCTTTGTATTGACCTTCATTTAGGTGGCCCTTCCTATCATTCAAAACTTGGCTTCCTTGACCTCCTCAGAAAGGCCTTCCTCAACACACTCTCTACCACATAATTTTAATTCTGCACATCGTAACTATCACAATCTTGTTCATTGTCAGTCACCCTCTTCTAAAAGCAAACTGCAGAAAAACAAGGACTTTGTCTATCATACCTGCTAGTTTGCTTCTTTGAACAGTGAGTGGCATATAGCCAGAATCAAATAAGCATTCAGAATGAATAAAGAAAGCACAAACTAGCCTTCCTGGGGTCTAAAATATTTCAATATATGAGAATGATTATACACACCTGTGATCCTCAAGTTTTAACATGCTAAAATAGATTTCCAGCCCCACCTCCAGAATTTCTGGAGTAGGACTCAAGAATTAGCATGCTTAATGAATACCCAGATAATTCTTATGCTGCTGGACTAGTGATCACACTTTCAGAACTACTGATCTAGTTAAATGGAATTATTCTCCCATATAACTTAGTAAAAATGACATAAAATAAACATAGGGTATACTTCAATAATCAATTATTTCAATAAAAGATTTGCAATAAAAGATTTCAAAGGCATTGTAGAAGCAATGAAGCTTATTCCTCTTCTATTGCTATCTATAGTTATTGTCTCACTCTAGCGAGTAATACCAAGACTACATTAAGTTTCTTACTCAGTTCAAATAGTTGCCAGAGTTCTGTTACATGGAGCCAAGACTATGACAGTCTCTTTTAAAACAGAAAAAGAAAAGCAAAAAGCTGATTAAAACACTAAAAACAAATTAGACTATAAGTTATAGTTATGTTCATACATGATCATTTACATGTTGCTTTATGGAAGAAGTGGTGACTAATGTTGTGACAAGTTATATAACATACCAACAAATATACTTAAGTTATTTTAAGGGCCAGTGAAGCCAGTGCAGATGGAAGCATTTTCTGTTTCTCTGCAAATCAAAATAAATTTAAAAGTGTGTCTTCTAAATGCAAATGGCTAAGCAACTCTTACTTAATATTTTCATTAAGCCTGTAAACAATTAAGATATAATAATTTCCAGAGACTCTCTAGAACTACCCTGAGACTGCTTCTGTGTTCCATTACTCTTCAAGATGCTCAATATTTTTAATACTTGACTAAAGAAACTGAAAATCCGTTTTCTGTCCTATTAACACTCACCGCTAATTCAGTACAAGTAATGATGCTGAGAATGCAATATTCAGAGCCAATTTTGCAATATGGACCCAAGTTTTCCCAGAACACTTCATGCATTCCCTCCTCTCTGGGAAGCCTTCTCAATCCCCCTCACTCAGGCCTCTCCTTTACACTCCCAGGGCACCCTATGCTTCCACACTCTTACCACAGTCAACCCTGACACAATTACAACTACCTGGGTAGCTTTTAAAAGTCCTGATGGCCAGGCTATCTCCCGGCATCCGTGTTTTTTTAAAGCTCCCAGCTCATTCCAATGTTCAGGCTAGGTGGAAAACCACCAGTGTACCTCTGACTAAATATCTGTCCTCCCACTCGACTGGCAGCTCCTTGAGGGTACTAACTGCCTTATAAACCCATTTCCACACCAGGCACAATAAAAGATGAATGAGCTTTTCTCCAACATCTGACATGTGGTTTTCAGCTCCCAAACTGCTTCTCTCTTGACAGGAGGTAATTTGATGAATACACACCATTGTTAGTCTTTAAAGATGTTTTCCTTTGGAGTCAAAGGTATGAATAAGTCACAA